ACTAAAAACTTTTCAATGGTATTTTGCATGATGGTCATGCATTTAATGTCGTGTAAAAAACATAATGATAGATAGATAAGATAGATAGATAGATAGATATATAAATTTATATCCTCATCTTCCTCCTCCTTTATCATCATCATTATCCCCTTGACTTTTGTAATCGTAGGGCGGACCCGAAAGCAGAAGCCACACTAACTCTTTTCCTGTCAATCTAATAAATCAGTGCGGGGTACTGTTTCCGTTTATTAAAAGATTTCGATCTGAAGAATTGAATATATAAATATTCACGAAATAAATTATAACCGAAATGAATCTTTTAGGTTTTCTTCTTGATTATTATTGTTATTATTATTATTATTATTATTATTATTATTATACTCTCTAGTTTACATTGAGCTCTCCCTCTGGCATCTCGTCTACAGTCACAGACGTGCCGTCGCCTCTCTCTGTCTTTTCTACAAATACTTTCATGGTAATTGCTCCGATGAGCTGCTTTCACTGGTTCCCAGACTCCATGAGCTCAAGCGCCCTACGAGGCTGGCATCCCGCTCCCACCTTTACACTGTAGAAACTTTTAAATGTAGCCGTCTCTTCTACTCCAATAGCTTCATACCTCGCATCTCTCGCCTGTGGAATACTCTTCCCAATTACTGTTTCCCTGAGAGTTTAATCTCAAACTATTCAAATGTCATGTCAATCGACATCTCCAGTTACCTTGATCTACCCACTATCCCTCTCCTCACCCTTTCTTCTATCACTCCTATCTGCTCTTGCTCCAAATCTTCTACAACCTCCCCCTGCATCCTAGTGGCTTCACGCCTTGCTCGGGGCGTAATGCTTAAAAAAAAAAAAATATAGCCCCTTGAAATTATCTTTACCAGTCACAAAAATAAATATATATATATATATATATATATATATATATATATATATATATATATATATATATATATCAAAAAGCTTCAGGATTTCATCCTCTTTTTTACATAATATTACCAAATTCTTCTTAACCTAATTATATATATATATATATATATATATATATATATATGTATAAAATTATTTATTCGAAAATTATAACATAAATAATTTATAAAATTTTAAAATTCAAAAAATTATTTTTTTTCTCACTTCTGGTTAATTATCACACCAGAAATGTCGAAAAAAATGGCTATTTTTTTTTAGGCCATTTTTTTATAACATATTTTATTTTTGAATGAATGATTATATTTGCTCTACTCTGTATTGAGCACTCTTTTAAGAATAGTATTTGTTGGTTATTGTCGTTTATTCCGTCTACATTTCCTATATATTATATATATATATATATATATATATATATATATATAATTTTATATACATAATTTTAGCGTTTATAATTAATAGATAAAAAAAATCTCAGTTCACCTCCTATGAGGAATAGGCAATTTCGACAGACGAAGATATCGGTTGTCTGTCTTATCAATCCCGACGCGGACTGAGTTCGCTTCAGAAATAAAAAAAATGAAAAAATAAAATAAAATTAATTATCTATTATAAAAATAAAGACAGCTAACCTTATCCTCAAAAATAACAACACACCATTAAAGTCAAAATTACAAAGAACGAACATTATCTATGAGTTCAAATGCCCCTTATTTTCATTCACTGTGTTTCCTGATCAAACCATACTCATAAATAATTACATCAGATTAAAATTAACATTATTATCTAAAGACGTCTTACATTACACCTATCTGATCACAGCTCCATTAGAACAAATTTAAACTTCACATACGAAACTTATCAGACACCATCAAAAACATATAAATAGAAAATATAAGCATTGCATAACAAACGTTATACGCCTTTTAAAAAAATTAAAAAAAATAATGGAAGCCCTAATAATAAAAAAAATAAAAAAAAAACTCTTAACAATGTTAACTTTATGACATTGACAATAATGTGCTATCCGTGTTCGGAAAATTAAACATGGCTATAGCACAATAAATGCATATTAATAACGCACACACTCAATTAAACTGAAAAATAAAATCATCCTTGATAATGGCAAGAAGTATAGCCGAAAGCGGTAGGAATTACAGAACATTTGGACAGTTTCTACACAGTCTGAAAACAAGAATAATTAAATATAAAGCTTAAGAGTAGTACCTTGTCTTTCATTTTTAATGAAACATGCATAAATGAAGGTTTGCTGCCTAAATGCACGATATATATATATATATATATATATATATATATATATATATATATAGATAGATATTTAGAGAAA